GGTTTGCTAGATGTCTGGTTTTCGACTGGAACGCCCACTCAAAAAGGGACCCTGGCGGCTCCAGTTGGCACCACTGACTGGGCCATTAAAAGTCCAGTCAGCGGAGCAGCGGGGGCCCGGGGCTAAGGCAGGCCTTCTGCCTGCCCTAGCTCCGTGCGGCTCCCGGAAGCAGCCACCGGGTGGGTCCCCGTGGTCCCTAGGCTCATGGGCGGCCAGGTAGGCTCTGCACGCTGCCCACGCCCCGAGTGTGGGCTAAGCATCTCCCATTGGCCGGGAACCGCGACCAATGGGAGCTGCGGGGGTGGCATCTGCAGATGTGATGGCAGCTGAGCGTGTAGAGCCTCCTTGGCCGCCCATGCACCTAGGGGAAGCAGGGATCTGACGGCCACTTCCTGGGAGTCGCAGTAAGTGTCACTGGGACCCTGCACCCCAAATCCCCTCCCACACCCCAACCCCCTGCCCCTGCCTGGAGTCCCCTCCTGCACCAAAACTTCCTCCTGGAGCCTGCACCCCCCCAACACCTCAACACCCTGTCCCAGCCCTCTCCTGCACCCCAAACCCCTCATCCCTAGCCCCACCCCAGAGCCTGTACCCTCAGATGGAGCCCGCACCCCCTTCCGCACTCTGAACCCCTCAGCCCCAGCCTGGAGCCGCCTCCTGAACCCCAAACCCCTCATCTCCAGCCCCACCCCAGAGCCTGTACACCCAGCTGGAGTCTGCACCCCCCTCCCACACTCCAAACCCCTCAGCCCCAGTCCGGAGCTCCCTCCTGCATCCCAAATCCCTCATCCCCATCCCCACCCCAGAGCCTGCACCCCCTCGCACACTCTGAACCCCTCAGCCCCTGCCTGGAGACCCGTCCCAAACCACTCATCCTCTGCCTCACCCCAGAGCCCGCACCGCCAGCCAGAGTCCGCACCCCCCTTCCACACTTCAAACCCCTCAGCCCCAGCCTGGAGCTCCCTCCTGCATGCCAAATCCCTCAGCCCCAGCCCCACCCTAGAGCCCACACTCCCAGCTGGAGCCCTTACCCCCCCCTGCACCCCAACCCCTTGCCCTAGCCTGGTGAAAGTGAGTGAGGATGGGGGAGAGTGAGTGACAGAGGGAGGGGGGATGGACCAAGTGGGGGCAGGGCTGGGGTGTTCGATTTGTGGAATTAGAAAGTTGGCAACCCTAGGCAGCCCACGTCATTTGGTCCCATGATTACAACGGGGCTATAAGTAAATTGGCTGGGGAGCAAGGGAACACATTAGATCCTCCTCCCCTCCCACACCAGGGCTTCCTCATTGCAAGCCTGATGGCCCAGGTTAGTGCAGCTGTGGCAAGGAACCTGGGGAAGGAGTGTGGTGGGGGAGGGAGGCACCACTGACAACTGCAGGAAGCAAGAGAAGTGGTGAGGGGCGCACACAGAAGCCCAGTGGGTGGAAGTGGAGGAGGAGTGGGTGACCTGCTCAGGCATACCCCGGTGGAAGGAATAGCAGCCAGGCCTGCAGGGAGAGGAAGGAGCAGGGACTGTGTTGAGCCAAGCAAGGTTGGGTTCGGGTTGTGGCAGGAGATTTGGAAGAACCACTGAGAGAAGCCTGCCCCAGTGGGAAGAGCAACTGAAGGGAGCCCACTCTATGAGAAAAAGCACCTCAGGAAGGTGAGTGAACCCTGACGCTGGGTGTAGTTGTAAGAACAGGGAGTGAAAGGGAGGTGCAGGCAGCAGAACTCCTGAGGGGAGCCCAGGCCTCAGCAGAGGAGGGGGTAGGTTGGGCAAGTGAAGAAGCCAGGTGAGGCCTCACCCAGGCAGCAATCACAGAGGGTGCATGACATGGGAGTGGGAGGGCCCCCCACTTGGATATGACCTCACTTCCCGCACCCAGATATGACCTCGCTAATCACTGCTTGGTATCCATTTCCTAAAGCTCATGAATCTTTTCCCCTAATTATACTTAAATGAGAGGGGGAAAAAATGAAAGTTGGGCTCCATTAGAAAAAAAGCTTGGGGGGGGGGGGAGGAAAGAGTGGGGAAAAAGGTAAGAAAAATAAATGTGGTGAAAGATGTAGGGTGACCATATTTCCCAAAGAGAAAACAGGGCACCTCATGGGGCTGGCCCTAGCTGCTCGCCCGAGCCCCCTTCCCCATGTGGGGCTGGCGTCACTGTTTGCCTGAGCCCTGCCTGCCCCCTGTGCAAGGCTGGGGCTGGTGTTGCTGCTTACCTGAGCCCTGTCTCCTCTTCTCCCCCTCCCCCAGCCGCATAGGGCTGGCCTTTCCACTTACCCCCCCCCCCCGCATGCCCTTCTGCACCCCACTTTTTTAACAAAAGTGGGCATTTGTCCCATTTGCTCTTGCCAACTGATCAAGTTGGCAAGAGCAAATGGGACAAATGGCCCCCTTTTGCCAAAAAAAGGTCAGGACGGCCAGGACAGGGCTGAAAAAAGGGACTGTCCTGGCTAAAACGAGATGTGTGGTCACCCTAGAAAGATAATTTCCCTGGGCCCAGTCCTGCAAAGTACTGAGCACCTTCCCCTGTTAACTATCCCTTGCAGGGTCAAGCTCTTTTTCAGCTTAATCCGCTGACCTCTGCAAAAGTGGTAAATTGTAGGCTAGATTGGTACAGTTTAATGAAGCAGAGTACTCAAAATCCATACCCAATGATATGCGTAAGTGCTATGGTGCCTAGCTGATTTATCCGTGCATAAAGCAGTGTGAAGGAAGCAGGTCTCAACTCACAGTGTTGAGGTTAAAATTTGAATAAAATTGGATCATGAAGTTATAGCTTCATATATTTTAAGGCCAGAAGGGACCATTGTGGTCATCGCATCTGATCTCGTGCATAAAACAGGCCATAGGACATCCCTGAATTCATTCCTTATCCTACACATACTGTTGACATATGCTGAGTAATACATTCAACATCCTTTCCCGCAAGTCAGCTACCTTTAGTTACAAAGAGTCCTGTGGCACCTTATAAACTAACAGGAGCATAAGCTTTCGTGGGTGAATACCCACTTCGTCAGATGCATGTAGTGGAAATTTCCAGAGGCAGGTATAAATATGCAGGCAAGAATCAGTCTAGAGATATCGAGGTTAGTTCAATCAGGGAGGATCAGGCCCTTTAGTTGTAATACTTTTATAATAGTCTATCAAATCAAAAGTTGATTCACAATATTACAAGTAAATAATAAACGGTATATTGCTGCTGCATTACTTTTAAATTGCAGAGGGCACATTGGGCTAGTATGTTTCACCATGGGTTGTAGGCTTAATCCTCAGGTTTGTTAACTGTTGGAGAATAAAATGTAAATTTGCAGGGTTTGTAAAATTTTCCCAACTGCTATTGGGACAACTAAGAAAAATGATCAAAAGGTGATGATTAGGGTTGGGGTTATGTTAGCCAGTGAGCAACGATTCAGTCAATAAACATATTATTTCTAATGTCAGCTAATAAAAGTCACACAACCCTAGTCTGACATGCTATACTTGGCAATGAAATGGAAGCAGAAAAGCTAGTTTAAAAAGAATATCCAAGCAATTCATAGACCATCCGTCCCCTCTCTCTAGGTACGTTTACAGTGCTCAGTGTAGTATTTGGTTCCAGCACAAGCACTTCTCGTGGAAAGAAAGGGTCTTCCTCAAGGACACAACCATTCAAGGTCACTGAGCTAAATATTTTCGGTGCCACAGTTTCCTAATCCTTCCATAATTCTGACACTCAGGGCCAGCTCCAGGCACCAGCCTAACAAGCAGGTGCCTGGGGCAGTCAATGAAGAGGGGGTGGCACGTCCGGCTGTTCGGCAGCGGGGCTGTCACTCCCTCTCAGAGTGAAGGACCTGCCACCGAATTGCCGCCGTAGAATGAAGCGGCGTTAGCGATGCCGCCGCTTGCGATCGCGGCTTCCCTCCACCCCCCCGCTTGGGACGGCAAAAACACTAGAGCTGGCCCTGCTGACACCTTACTTACTTGGTTTGTTGTAGTACTGCTGTGCTAAGCACTGTACAACACTTCCCCGCCCCCCACAACCCCCCCCAATAGTTCCTGCCACAAAGGGCTTACACTCTATGGTCACTAGCAATATTTAGCAACAACAGTGTAGCAGCAAATTTAAAATAGGTGATTAATGTACATTGGGGTTTTGCGGGAGTTCATGTTACTCCCTGGTTGACTGCAACCCATTTTGAGGACTCAGCTTGCATTAATAAGTGTTGTTGTGGTCCGTAAATGCTCAACGCCATCCATTGGTGGTTGTGCGCACACGCATGCCCACTATATTCTTTGCGTGCTCTAACCACTAGAGGAAGACAAAGCCACTCTGTTAACATGGTTTACACAAGCGGTATTTCTTGCATTTTTTTACATGCCTACTATAATGAGAAAATGCACAGTACAGTAGAAACTGGGAGATGCAGGCCAGATTCTGTGGAAGAGGCTCTCCTTGGAGTTCCCCCCAATCATTCTATGCGATGAAGGGGCTCCATGGAAAAAGTAGTACATCTGACTCTAATGGGAATTGGATCAGGATCTGCGAATGGGCTGTAATATTTTACTATATTCTTAATGTGGTGTACAGCACCCTGGACGTACGTGTGTGTCTGAACTATATAAATAAAGATGATTGGTTAGCTGTGTTCACTCAGGGTTTGTAGGGCTCATGTGACGTTCTGTAGTCTGAATGTATTTTAAGTTTCACAGCCAGGGCCGGCTCCAGGCACCAGCCGAGCAAGTGTGTGCTTGGGTTGGCAGATTCCAAGGGGGCGGCATTCTGTCCAATCCTTTTTTTTTTTTTGTGCTTCACCGCTTTGGCCGCCCCTGCAGGTTTTTTTCTTTTTGGTTTGCTGCTCCCGCCGCCCTGTAAGGGGCGGAGGATGGGAGCACCCTGCAGCAAGCCCGGCAGGGCAGCCCACATCCTTCCCTGCCTGCCGACCGGAGCAGCGCGGAGCCCTCCCAGCAGGCGGTGCAGTGGGAGGGGCTGCATGGCAAGCACCCCGCTTAAGGAAGCCCTGGCCGCCCCCCTTCTCTCTCTCTCCCCCAGCTAGGGCCAGGAGTCCCCCTGCACCCACGCTCCTGCCGCCCCACAGGTATTGTTTGTTTGTTTTTTCTTTCCTTCGCCGCTCCGGCCGGCTGGCCAGTTTGTTCCCTCCCACCCCCGCCGCTCCGGCCGAGGGCAGGTTTGTTTCCCGTCCCCCTCCCCCCCCCCCCTCGCCGCTCTGGCCGGGGGCAGGTTTGTTTCCCGCCCCCACATTTGCTGCTCCGGCTGGCTGGTTTGTGCTTTGGGCGGCAAACTATTCAGGGGGGGCCTGTTTCACAGCAGAACTCTGCCATCTTACAACACACTTGCTTGA